CCCCTCCCGCCCCGAGAGGAACCCGGAGAGTACTTACAGTCCCGCGACATGCCGACCGCCAGACATTTCCTAAAGCGGCAGTACTGGCAGCGGTTCCGGTTCAGCCTGATGACCAGGCATTTGCCGTCGCGCAGGCAGCGGTACTCGATCTGCTTCTGGATGCTGCGTCTGAAGAACCCCTGAGGAACGGACAGATCATTGATAACCAAAACCAGTCCCCAGAGATAGCTCAGTGGCGGGGTGACCTTCACTGCGCCAGCTGCACCTTCGCCGTACCTTGCAGCCCTCGCAGGACGTGACGCCGTAGTGGTACCCCGACGCCTTGTCCCCGCACACCTTGCACGGGATGAACGTCTTGGCCGGCGTCGTGCTGTTGGAGTCGGCCGCCGCGAATTGTTGCTCTGTAACACACACCGGGCGGGCTGATCAGGCAGACGTCAGCGCGGCAGTCATTCTGGCTATGGCGCTCAGTCAGAAACGCCAAGCCACTTACACACTGGGAACATCTATTGAAACCAACAAATTTTCGCACCCCGATCAACATGATCAATTTAATCAAAAGTAACGTAGAATCAATCACATCTTGACTATACAATTTAATCAACACGGTCAAACTTTGGTTGGGTTGAGCTAAAATGTAGTTGCTTTCATCAACAAATTATTTTTGCTCATAGCGAACTAAAGCGGTTTTCTGAGTGACGCCTGAAGCCGTCTTGCAGTGCACCATAGCTCACGTCAGCGAGTGAGGGTAGCTAACGTTCGTACAGCACATTTACTAAACGTGATTGGCTCTTTCTGAAACTACCCCCCCCCCCTCTCCCTCCATAGAACTACCCCACGCGAGGAGTTTTCTCAGACTCCACCCAGTGGTAGGGCCTGGCCCGGGCCAGCCCCCGCCAGGCCACAGCTGCAAACTATGCTTGACCAGACTTGACGTCCGCGCACCACTTCCCTCTGCTGCTGTCGCCATCCTAGACAGGCAGGCTGTTGGCCCGCGGCGGCCGCTGACCCCCGCGCTGCTGCCCGCTGCCCGTCCGCAGCCGCCTCCTCCTGAGGCCTGTCGGGCCAGTCTGCCAATGCGAGCAGCGAGGAGCAAAGCCGAGCAGAGCGGAGCAGAGAGATGCGGCATCCGGCCCATCCGCGCCGTGCGCACGTAGTAGACAACGCTATGCCGGGCGGGCGACGGGCGATTTACAAACGCACAAGTAGTTGTTTGCTGACTAACAAGGAGCGCCCCCCCTCCCCCTCCACACACACACTTTATCGTGGCTCCAGAGGATTCACACATTTCGCGGGAAATTGCGAGTAAAGCTGTTTTAGTAACTTTCCGCGCCCTTCAGGGGGGGATGACAGCGTCGGGCATGCCGAGAATATAGAAACCCACCCGACCCGGCCCCAGCCAGCCGGGCCCCGCCAGCGCCAGCCACCCTCGCTGGAGCGGCTCTGCTTCCGCGCCCCATGAATATGGGCGAGTATCAAGAGAGGGG